CGTCATGGGCATGGCGGCAGGGCCTCCGCGAGACCAGCGCGCTGCCTGCGAGGCCGGGAACCGGGGAATGAGAAGGGCGTGACGGACTGCGACTGGTCAGCGGGTTCCGTGTGTCGCGGGACGCGGATCGTGGGCGGCCTACCTTGGCCCGCTCGGGCACTTCGAGGCCCGGCAGCCGCGCTGCCTCGTTTGCTGAGGCGGCGGCCGACGCCGATGCCGAGGATGTGGAGGACATGGGCGGGTCCTGATATGAGAGGAGCTTGTAGTGCAGGTTGACGAAACGCTCGGCCGACGCGGCCTTGGCTTGCTCGGCCGTCTTGATGGTGAGATGGACCTCGAGCAGGCCGAGGGCGGCGCACATGATGGAGTAGCCCCAGGGCTCGTTGTTGCCGCACCGCATGAGGCGGTCTTCCTTCATGACGAGGCAGCGCTCGAGCAGCTTGACCGTGTGGGCCGAGTTGATCATGATCATGTGCGTCGAGCCGCGGGGCTGCAGCATGGTGACCTTGCAGAGGTTGACCGCCGTCGTGAGGGCGTCCTCGCGCAAGAAGTTGAGGCAGCGCACGCCCTGGTCGTAGAGCTTGTCGTGGAGGAGGACGATGTCGCGGGCGGCGTTGTAGTAGATGATCTCCGAGTACTGGTACTTGGGGTTGGCCTTGCGGAGCTTGATGAAGCGCTGGTGCAGGGGGATGATGTACTGGCGCAGCTGAATGTGGAGGAGCGTGTAGGCGAGCAGGGGCCGCTTGCCGTTCTGGCTGTTGGCGCCGTCCGTCTCCCACGACGGCAGCGAGTCGATCTCGCGCGTGATGTCGTTGGTGAAGCGGATGACCTGCTCGTAGTCGAGGTCGCCGGGCGGGCCGCAGAGGAGGCGGCTGAGCTCCATGCGCAGCGGCAGGCTCTGGCGGGCGAGGTTCTGGTAGGACGAGTAGGTGTAGTCCTTGGCGGGCTTGGACGGCGGCAGCTGGGTCGTCTCCTCGTCAAAGTCCTCGTCGTCGAGGTTCCGCGGCGCGCCGACGTCGTAGTGCAGCTGGCTCAGCAGCGTCGGCAGGCCGTGGTCGAAGCTCGCCTGGATGTCGAACTCCTGGACGGTGGCCCAGATGCGGCGCGCATCTCCTGGTTGTAGAGCGAGATGCGGCCGCCCATGTGGCCGGGGTCGCGGTGCAGGCCGACCGAGATGCCGTCCTGGATGAGGGCGCCCGAGTTGGTCCAGAAGCGCTTCTTCTTGACCGTGTTGATGCGCTTGCCGAGGTAGAGGAGGCAGGCGATCTGGTAGTGGATGAGGCGGCGGTGCTTCATGCTCTGGCGCGCCTGCCAGCGCTCGACGACCTCGATCCACTTGTGGGCCGTGTTGTGGGCGTTGGAGAGCATGCCGGTGAAGCGCGGCCTGTCGTGGGTGTGGAGGCAGTTGGCGATGGCGATCATGGCGAGCAGCATGGCGGTGAAGGCGGCATGGCGGCTCTCGTCGGCCGCGTTCTCCCAGAAGCGGGCGTACTCACGGCGGAAGGTGGGAATGTGGACGATGCGGTGGACCTGCTCAAACTGGCTCAGGTAGACCTCGACGAGGGCGTCCGTCTCGGCACGCGGCGGCACGAGGGCCTCGAGCTCGAGGTCGCGCTCGAGGAACAGGCGCTCGCGGTCCTCCTTTCTCTTCTTGCGGTCCTTGAGGTCGTGCGCCGCGGCGGGGCGCAGCCACTCGTCAGCCGTCTCCTGCATGAACGGGCACAGGCCACCGAGCTGTCACGGTCAGCACGGCACGAGCAAGGGCTGACTGTTGGTTGGGTTATTTGCTCAAGTGGGAAAAGGAAACGCTCAAGTGGGAAACGGAAACGCTCAAGTGGGAAAAGGAAAAAGTTACCTCGAGGAAGG